CCCCCCCCCCCCCATTTCCTTTTCTAATCATTTGCATGGAGAAGATGATTTTGGCTGTGGTATGAAGGTTAGATTGGAGGGGAAAGGCATGGAAGTTGGAAGACAGTAATTTAGGCTGGTGGTAATGAACTCCTGGATGAATGCTGGTGCTGGCTCCTGGTGTCCGTCTTTTGGGGATCTATGGGTTCATTATAAAGAAAGTAAGGGATTTTCCCCTAGATTAGGTGCTCTTAACTTGGGGGTCTGTGGATAGATTTTCTGGGGCTTTGTGAACTTCAATGGAAAAAAAATTACATCTTTATTTCATTTCAAATTACATTCTTTATGTCATAATTGTTTTCCTTTGTAATCTTATGTATTTTGTTTTATGCATTTGAAAACATGATTTTGAGAAGGGAGGGGTCCACAAGCTTCACCAGACTGACTATCAGAGGGGTCTGGGACATAGAAAAGGTTGAAACATCCTGCCTTAAATGGTCACTCACTCCCATGTGCTGCCACGATTTCCCTTCCCTTCTGCCCCAGGTTCATAACAACACCTTCATCCTGTCCTTTCATTAGGGATAGGGATAAGTAAGGCAAACACTCAGATAATATATCTTAGGCAACCTCCCAGATATTTATAAAGCTTAGTCTTTGCCAACATTCTCCAGCTATGAAGATTAAGAACAAGATGGTCCCTGCCCTGGGGTGAATTGGGCCAATTTACTTCCCCATCTCCTGTGAGATTTCCTCATCTATAACAATGAAGAGGTTGGGCTAGATGCCCTCTAAGGCCTCATCCAGCTCTGGGTCTATAGTCCTATGGGTGACGGTGTCCTAAGGCATTTTCCTAAGGCATTTTCTTAAGCATTATAAGGCTTGCTTTGGCTCCAAGGGGAGAAGGGCAAAGCTGGTGGCAGGGAGACACACACAGGTGAAAGGGGATGGGAAGGGCCGTGAGAGTGGGACCAGGAAAAGAGGATGGGCCTGAGTAGTGTGGAGATAGAATGGAAGCGATTGGATTTGAGGAGTGTGGGGGAGGAACGAGTCAGAAGATGGCAATTTTTTGAGCCTGGGTGATAGGGAGGATGGTGGCATCAGTGGCAATAGGGAAGTCATGAGGACAAGCTTCTTTGTGTAAGGGGAAAGATATGAGCGCCATTTTGGACATGTTGAATTTGAGGTACTAGTGAGACATGGGTCTGGAGTTGGGGGAGGGGAAAAGGGATAGGACCAGATAGAGTGTGTAGAGAGGAGGCCAATAGTAGACCCCATAGGGAAGCAACCCCATTAAGGGGCAAGGAAGATGATGAGGACGGATGTGGTGGGCTGCAGAGAGCACCAGCTTTGGAGTCAGAGGCTGGCCTGATTCTGGCTTTTTGGCCCTGATCAAGTTGCTTCCCCTTTGGCCCCTCAGATTTCCTCGTGTGTAACAGGATAAGGTTGATCCAGGTGATTTGTAAGGTAGCTTTTTCCCCAATGTAAATCTGGGATTCTATATTTCTTTTTTTTTTTTTAATTTTTTTTTAATTTAGAAAAACCTGGAAAGACTTGTATGATCTGATGCTGAGTGAAGTGAGCAGAACCAGGAGAAAGTTGTACATGGTAACAGCCGTGTTGTGTGATGACTAATATTGATAGACTTAACCCTTCTCAGCAATGCAAGGATCTAAGACATCTCCAAAGGCCTCATGATGGAAAATGCTATCCACATCCGGAGAAAGAACTATGGAGTTTGAATGCAGATCGAAGCATACTATTTGCTATTTTATTTCTTCTGTTGTTTTGTTTCCTCTTTCTGGTGGTCCCTCCTATTGGTTCTAATTCTTCCTTACAACATAACTAATGTGAAAATATGTCTAATACAAATGTATATGTAGAGCCTATATCAGATTGCCTGCCGTCTTGGGGAGGGAGAGGGAGAAAAATTTAAAACTCAGAAGCTTATGGAAGTGATTATTGATAAATCAAAATAAATTAATTAAAATTTTTTCCACTTAATAGTATTTTTTCCCAATTACACATAAAGATAGTTTTCAACATTCACTTTTATTAGATTTTGAGTTCCAAATTTTTTTTTCTCCCTTTCTCCCCTCCTCAAGATGGTAAGCAATCTGATATAGGCTGTACGTGTGCAATCATATCAAGCATATTTCCACATTAGTCATGTTGTGAAAGAAGAATCAGAACAAAAGGGGAAAACCATGAGAAAGAAAAAAAAATGAAAATAGTATGCTTTGATCTGCATTCAGATTCCATAGTTCTTTCTCTGGATGTGAGTAGCATTTTCTATCTCGAGTCAAGGAATAGTCTTAGATCACTGCATTGCTGAGAAGAGCTAAGTATCAAAGCTGATATGATTCCATATTTCAATGAAGTAGGCAGAGAAAAAACAGTCAGAGGGGTAGGAGGAAAGCTGAGTGAGTCATCTCCTGGCTTGGAAGTGGTTTAGGTGGAGGGGTTGTCATCAGTCTTAAAAACTGCAGAAGGGTCAGGGAGGATGAGGACTGAGAATAGGGCTTTGGATTTGGTGATGAGGACTTTGCTGACTGTTGGAAGACAGGTGGGGATATTCGGAAGCTAGTTTTCAGGGAGTGAGGAGTGATGATGTGTCTCCTTTAGCAAGCTGTTAACTTGCTTTTCATGATTTTCTTGCATCACTCTCATTTCTCTTCCCAGTTTTTCCTCTCCTTCTCTTACTTGCTTCTCAAAATCCCTTTTGAGCTCTTCCAAGGCCTGGGACTGATTCATATTTTTCTTGGAGGCTTTGGATGTAGGAGCTTTGACTTTGTTGTCTTCTTCTGGTTGTATGTTTTGATCTTCTTTGTCACCAAAGTAAGATAATATAGTCTGACTCTTTTTGCGCTGCTTGCTCATGATCCCAACTAATTACTTGAGTTTTAAACTCTTTGTTAAGCTAAGAGTCTGCTTCCAATGTGGAGAATGTACTGTCCCAAGCTTTGGGGGTTTGTACAGCTGTTTTCAGAGATACTTCTAGGGACTTGAAAATTTTCAGTTCTTCCAAGGTGCTATGATAAGGGGCAAGGTGTTTCCTCTCCACCGCCACAACAAGCTCCACCACATCAGCACTCCTCCTTGCCCCAGGACCTCCCCTCAGAACTGTGACCCAGATCCAAGCACGGGCAAAGCAAGAGATTCCTACCTCAGCGCTGGCAAATATATTCCTGCAATGCCCCTCTGATCAGCCACTCATTCCCCCTCAGTCTGTGGGCCAGAAGCTCAGGAGGCAGCCGCTGCCCTGGGGGTGGCAGAGACCTAGCTTCTTCTCTCACAGCAGTCACAGACTTTTCCAACTGACCTTCTAAGCTGTCTTTGGTGTTCATGGGTTGAGAAGTCTGGAAACCGCCATAGCTGCCCTCGATTCAGTCCTCTGAGTCCTGCAGCTTGCGTGCCCATGCCGAACTGCGCTCCTCTCCTTGCCTGGTACGATATACCTTTCTGATCAGCCATCCAGGTTGTCTTGGGCTGGAAATTTGTTTCACTGCCTTTTTGTGGGTTCTGCTGCTTTAGAATTTGTTTAGAGCCATTTTTTATAGGTATTTGGAGGGGTTTGAGGGAGAGCTCAAGCAAGTCACTGCTTTCCTTCTGCCATCTTGGCTCCACCCCCCTTCTTCCGAGGAGTGATGATGAAGGCAGGGGTGAAGGCAATCTAGATTTTTGCCAGAAGATAGAGCTGGGGTAGACGGCAGAGTTATAACTAAGGGGTTTGCCCCAGGGTGCCAAGAGTTGGAAGGTGCCAACTGAACATGCACTCTAGCTGCAGACAGGTGAGTATAGTTGCTAGTTGGCAAAGTTTATTGGGCAATGAGGTGGCTCAGTGGATAGAGCATCAGGCCTGCGGTAAGGAAAACTCATCTTCCTGAGTTCAATTCTGGCCTCAGTCACTTACTAGCTGTGTGACTCTGGGCAAGTCAATTTACCCTATTTGCCTCAGTTTCCTCATCTGTAAAATGAACTGGAGAAGGAAATGGCAAACTACTCCAGTATCTTTTCCAAGAAAACCTAGTTGTACACAACAACGAAACTGACCAACAACAAAACTATTACTTAAAATTGGAAGCTACCAGATGGTGCATACTTCCTCTCTCCAGCTATTGCACCCCTGGTGACCACCTCCCTTCCCCTTTGAGGCAGAGTGCCCTTACTGCCCTGGGGTCACTGTGCCCTTCCCCCAATTGAGTTTGTCTTAAAAGATTGACCTAAGGTGTTATTTAGGGAGAAGGATAGGGTTGCTGCCGTGTTTTACAAAGCTTGCCCTAGACTTAAGAATGGTAGTTGTAGCTCACCAAGAAGGAAGTAGGAGAGATCGATGGGAAAAACCCAGTGGCAAAGAAAGCAATCATCGGGCCAGCAACAAGACTGTTGTGGGTTGATGCTTCTGAAGGTGGGTGAGTAGTCCTGAGGTCCGAGAACTCTGCATAATTGGGCTCTGAGGCCCTACTAAGCATGATGATCTAGCTTTCTTTGGGTGAGGGATCCTTCCCTTAGAAGCTCATAACAATGGGAATGGAGCTCCTCTTCCCTGATATACCCCCCGTCTAGAACTTTAAAAAATTGATACCTTGTTTTTATGTAACTCTCAATCCCCAACCTATCTCTCCTCCCCGCCCTACCCACTGAGCTGTTGTTTGTAATAATGTAGCACCTTAAGGTTTGCAAAATGCCTTACAATTATGATCTCATTTGGTCCTTACAAACAACCCTGGGAGTTAGGTTCTATTATTATCTCCATTTTACAGTCGAGAAAACAGAGGCAGACAGGTTAAGTGCCTTGTCCAGGATCATACAGCTGCTAAGTGTCTGAGGCTGGATTTGCACTCAGGTCTTCCTGACTCTAGGCCCAGAGCTCTATTCACTATGCCACCTAGCTGATAACCAAGAAAAAAAGAGAAGAAAAAAATTTACTTCAGCAAAACTAACCAACACGCCTACTGAGTCCAACAATTTATAGAGTGTCTGACATCCATAGTCCCTCACCCCATTTATTTTTCAAGCCTTTCCCAGTTCTCAATGCTACCCACCTTGGGAATGATACTGCTATAATTGTGTGCCTGAAGAAGAATGCTCTGGGGGCAGCTAGGTGGCACAGTGGATAGAGCACCAGCCCTGGAGTCAGGAGGACCTGAGTTCAAATCCAGCCTCAGACATATGACACTAGCTATGTGATTTTGGGCAAGTCACTTAACCCCAATTGCCTTGCCACAAACAAGCAAAAAAGAAAAATGCTCTGGCAGCTGGGAGAAGGATTAGTTGGAGCAGGGGAGAGGATGGGAGACAGAAGATCCCTTAGGAGGCTAATACAATTCTGTAGGGGAGAGGGGGTGAGAGCCAGAACTAAGGCTGTGGCTTGTGGGTGAAGAGAAGGGGGAGATGTGAGCAGGGAGAAGGTAAAGGGGGAGTGTGGTGGTTGTGAAGCCGGGTGACTGGAGGCAGGGTGTTTCAGAAGAAACAAGGAAGTTGAGGAGAGGGGCCAGTTTAAGGGGGAAGATGGTGACACCAATTTTACACATGCTGAGTTTGAGAACCCCAGTAGGTGTGGAGGAGTCCAGTAGATATTCAGGGATGTTGGACTTCTCAGGGTAGATTTTAGAGCTGATTCTATGGGTCTGGGAGACATCTGATGATAATTGAACTCCTGAGTTGATGAGATACCCAAGGGAGTGTAGCCTATACTCCTCATTAAGAAAGCACATTTTTCCATTATGCATGGAAGAATCCTGTGACTCCTAGATGGGGCAACAGATAGAGAAGACAGGAAGACCTGAATGCAAATCCTGCCTCAGATGGTTAACAACTGTTTGATCCTGGGCAAGTCTCACTTAACCTCTCTGTGCATCAGTTTCCTCCTTTGTAAAATGGGAATAATCTATTTAACAGGGTTGTTGTGAGGATCAAATGGGTTGACTTATATAAAGTGTTTTGCAAACCTTGAAGCTTTATATAAATGCTAATTGTTTTTTTCACTTTAAAAATGTTTTCAATTAAATTTATTTTTAGTTTTCAACATTCACTTTAATAAGATTTTGAGTTCTAAATCCCCCCCAAGACAGCTTGCAATCTGATATTGGTTATACGTGTATAATCATATTAAATGTATTTCCACATTAGTCATGTTGTAAAAGAAGGATCAGAACAAAAGAGAAAAACAAGAAAGAAAAAACAGAAAACAACAAAGAGCAAGTAGTATGCTTTGAGCTGCATTCAGACTCTGTAGTTCTTTCTTCGGGTGTGAATAGTGTATAAATGCTAATAGTTCCCTTGAATTTTGTGGAGCTCATCCAGGGGACCAAGAAGATGTCACATTTTCACTTCTCCCTCACTTACCAGTTACAATCAGTAGCCAAGTCCTTTTGATTTCCCTTTCACTACATCTATCCATCCCCTCCTCTCCAGTCACACAACCACTGCCATAGTTTGGACCCACATCACTTAGGCCATGGCCACCGGGACCTTGGCCAGAGACCTGCCAGAGCCTGGCCATAGGAGTGGAGATTGCATGGCCAGTCGGTGAGCAGGGATTCTGGGAAGAAGAGCAAGATGTCTCCTAACACTGACCTTTCTGAATTGCCCATGAACCAGGCAGGTTTAGCAAGATGGTGTCTTTCCACCATTTTGTGACCGTAAGCTGGGGAGTGGGCAATGAAGGATTGTCTTCTCCTGTCAAAGCCTTCTGGAACCATGAATTAATTTCCTCGGAAAGATAAAATGTGAGTGATCACCTCATCCGTTAATGAAGTGGCCAGTATTGCAGGGGACAGAGATTGCTGGCCCTTTCACCAGAGCAGGGAACAGTCATTTGGGAAATCTCAATAACATACTTTATTTTTTTTTTCTCTCCCATGGGGCAAAGACAGACCAAAACTACATTTTCTTTTTGGCAATCAAGGTTAAGTGACTTGCCCAGGGTCACACAGCTATTAAGTGTCAAGTGTCTCAGGCTGAATTTGAACTCAGATCCTCCTGACTCCAGGCCTGCTACTCTATCCACTGCACCACCTAGCTGCCCCAAAGCTATGTGTTTTTGGAAGTCCTGTGGAATGAGGAAGGAGACTCAAACTATACCGAAGTCGTAGTGGGTGGGGGAGATAGTAACCAAAGTTGCGATAATTTTATGATATATTACAGGCAAATGAGTCATTTACATTTTGAAAACTCTAGCTTGAGAGCAGAGGGATCTGGGCCAAGGGGTGGGGTGGGGTGCCCAGACAGGTCCTTGCTGTAGTTAGGACAAATTCCTGAACCACCTGCAAGCGCAGCATCAGTCTTTCTTCTAAGCATCCCTCCTATCAGACAGGCGGGCTGTGTATTCCCTCCACACATTTACACAAAGATCAAAGCCCTTAGTTCACAGGACAGGAAAGAAGAGGATACAGGTACCAGTCTTGGGAGACACCATACTTCTGGGGCGGGAGGTAGATGATGAACTAGCAAAGAAAACGGAGGAGCGATCGGGTAGGAAGGGGATCAGTCAGTGGGTCAACGAGCATTTATTAAGCCCCTACTATGTGCCAGGCACTGTGCTAAGCAGTGAGGATACAAAGAAGTAATAATAATAAAAAAAAAAGTCCCTGTCCTTAAAGAGCCCCCAGTCTGATGGGGGGGGAGGGAGGGAAACAACATGTAAAACAACTATGTATAAACAAGATGTATGCAGAGCAAATTGGAGGTGATCTCAGAGGGCAGGCACAAGCAGGGGAGGGGACTGGACAAGACTTCTGCTATTTTGTGGATCCCTGGCAAAGGCAGGGAAGAGCAGTGCCCAGAACCCAATACAGCTGGTTACCCTCTTTGGGAGGTTGTTTTGAGGAAAGTTCTCTATCTACCATAAAGCATTATTGAAATGGAAGTTTTAATTCTTCTTAACATTTCAAAGGAAGGGAAAGGGAATAAGCATTTATTAAGCACCTACTATATACTAGGCATGCAATTTTTATAAATATTATCTCACTTGATCTTCACAACAACCCTGAAAGGTAGGTGCTATGGTTATCTCCATTTTAGGGTTGAGGAAAGTGACTTGCCCAGGGTCACACAGCTAGAAAGTGTCTGAGGCCCGATTTGAACTCAGCTCTCCACTGCACCACCAGCTGCTTCTATTTCAAGGATCTCAGGTTTTATCAGGGTGGGTAACCTGCCGGAAAAGTAGGCCAAAACCCTTCCAGGGTTTGGTAGCTGGTTTTTGAGAGGTGCTATGACCAGAAATCAAACCAAAAACCAAAAACCAAAACCAAATTCCCCTCCCTGAAGCCAAGCTCAGAAAAGAGGCTGAGCCTCAGATAAGAGACACACAGCCCATCAATAGGACTATATTCAAAGCCTTTTGAGCTTGGTAGGACCTCAATGAGGCAGCTTTCATGGATAATAAATGGAACACAGTAATGGTAAAAGAGGGATAGAAAGTGCTCAGGGACTCTGGGAGGAAGGGATGCCTGGAGGAGGCAGGGCCTGAAATGGACTGCCAAGGATTGGGGTGGGGAAGGGCATTTCAGGAATGGGACAAAATGAGATATGTCAGAGTGGAATGGCTCTCCTCATGTTCCCTCATCCTCTCTATCCAATAGGTTGCCACATCTTGCCTATTCCATCCCCGAGACATCTCTTGGGCTTGTCCCTTCCTCTCCACTCACACAGTCCCTAGGCCAGGTCCTCACTATTTTCCTTCTGGATTGTTTCCGTGGCCTCCTGATTGGTCTCCTTGCCTCCAGTTTCTTCCTTCCCCAGTCCATCCTGCACACAGCTGCCAAAGTGATATTCTTAAAGCCCAGGTCTGACCCTGTCGCTCTCTGCCCTAGAAGCATCAATGCTGCCCCACCACCTTCAGAATAAAGCACAGACTCCTCTGTTTGGTATTTAAAGCTCTCCAGCTTCTCTTCTAGGAGGGTTACACATTAGTCCTCCTTATGCACCCTCTACTCCAGCCAAACTGTCCTATTGGCTGTTGCCCATTCATGACATTCTGTTTCCTGACTCCATCTCTTTGCATAGGCTGTGTCACCTGCCTGGAATTCTCTCCCTCCTTACCTCCAAATCTTGGAACCTCTGGCATCCCCTAAGGCTCAGCTGAGGTATCACCTTCTTAAAGGGGTCTTTCCTGCTTTCCCCACGTGTTAGTTCATCCCAATCAATCAATCATTCAATTAAAAAGCATTTATTAAGGACTTATTATGTGCCAGGCACTGTAATAACCACTGAGGATACAAAGAAAAGCAAAAGACAGTCCTTGCCCTCAAAAGGGCTTACAGTCTAATGGGAGAGACAACACGCAAACAACTGTGTACAAACAATCTACAGACATCCCCCTTCATGGTTTCAATATGCTGAGGTTTGGCATAAGATATTAAATGGGAATTTTTTTTGGAGTTTTGTGGAAGCTGCAGACAATACAAGAAGGCCAGCAGATGGCACAGAAAAAGTTTAGAAGTGTATAAAATATATGTATAGTACTGTTTAATATGAACCCAAGTTTTTTTGGGGGGGGGGTAGGCAATGGGGTTAAGTGACTTGCCCAGGGTCACACAGCTAGTAAGTGTCAAGTGTCTGAGGCCACATTTGAACTCAGGTCCTCCTGACTCCAAGGCTGGAGCTCTATCCGCTGTGTCACCTATCTGCCCCTGAACCCAAGTTTTACAATATGGTATTGTAAATACCCCATAACAGAAAAAGAAAAATAAAAAATTCAGACTTCTTCTGCAAATGGAGGGCCAAAACATTTCACACAGATTTTCTAGATTATGAGGATGCCACACCCTTAACATCTGCAATGTGGAAGGGATAACTGTATATACAATGGAGTTTGGAGATAATCTCAGAGGAAAGACATTAGCAAAATCTTGAAAGAAGCCAAGGAAACCAGAAGGCTGAGGTGAGAAAGAAGGGAATTCTAGACAGAGAGACAGCCAGTCAGTCAAAATGCAGAGCCAGGAGATGGAGAGGAAGTCTTATGCAAGAAATAGTGAGGAGGGCCAGGCTCACTGGAGCTCGGAGTACATAGAACGGAGTAAGGTGTGAGGAGACTGGAAATGCAGGAAGAGGCCGGGTTATAAAGGGCTTTAAATGCCCAAACATAGAATTTTTTATTTGATCCTGAAGGTTAATTTGAATGGAGATTTGGGGTAGTGCAGAGGGCTGGGAGGAATGGAGGGGAGAGGAGACTTGGTCAGACCTACCAGTGTTTTAGAAGATCTTTTTGGATGGCTGAGTACAGGATGGACTAGACTGGGGAGAGACAAGACAGGGAGACTGACCATTACAAAGCCCTAGATCATAGGACCGCAGATTGAGTATTTGAAGGGATCTTAGTGGTTGTCTCGTCTAACGTCTCCATTTTACACAGGGAGAAACCGAGGCCCAGAAAACGGAGCTGATTCGCCCAGAATGGTGCAGTTACTGCATGTCTGAGGTCAAAATTGAACTCAGGGCTTCTTGACCTGACCTACTCTACCTAGATGTCTTACTTGTATTTCTAGTTTGTACATATCCCTTATTTGTGTAAGTCCTTTATTTGAGAGACAGTATGGTATTAGATAGAGAACAAGCCTTGGAGCCTGGAAGATCTGGGTTCAAGTCTCTCTTCTGCTTATAAACTGGCTGTGTGACCCCAGTCGTATCATTGACCTCTCAGAGTTGTAGGCAACTCTCTAAGATGGTGGTTCTCCAAGCGTGGTCTGAGGATCCCCACTGGTTCCCTAGACCCTTTTAGGGGGTCCGTGAGGTCAAAAATATTTTGATAATTTTGAGAAATGGCCTACTGCTAGGCCCTAAAGGATAGAAGTGATCCCATGTTTGTTTACTGATTGACCTCTGAATGTACAGGGAGGTTTTTATACACCCAACAGCTGACTCAGTTAGCTACATTTAGGGTTAGGGATGCAAGGCTAGAAGCTTCATCTAATCCAGATATATAAGGTTAACAAATTTTACCTATCACAGTGTCCTGGCGGTTGTTAGGGGGGAGTGGCAGTCTAGGTTACCCACTGATTGACTGCCCCTAAGAGTTCCCTGGAGTAGCCAGGTGGCACCATAATGCACAGAGTGCCAGGCTTGGAATCAGTAAGACTCATCTTCCTAAATTCAAATCAAATTCAAATTCAAATTTTACTAGCTGTGTGACCCTGGGCAAGTCACTTAACCCTGTTTGCCTCAGTTTCCTCATTTGTAAAATGAGTTGGAGAAGGAAATGGGAAACCACTCCAGGATCTTTGCCAGGGGTGGGGAACCTGCAGCCTTGAGGCCACGTGTGGCCTTCTAGGTCCTCAGTGTGGCCTTTTGATTGAGCCCAAGTTTTATAGAACAAATCCTGTTATTTGTATAGGGATTTGTTCTGTGAAGTTTGGATTCAGTCAGAGGGCTGCACTTGAGGACCTAGAGGGCCACATGTGACCTTGAGGCTGCAGGTTCCCTACCCCTGAAAAATCCTAAATGGGGTCACGAAGAGTTGGACACGACTTAAATGACTGAAGAAAACACAAGAAAAGATTTCCCTCCCACCTAGTCTCTGTGAATCTGCCCAGCAAAAACAATCAGATCTAAGGGCAGAGACCCCAGGGATCAGAGCTCTCAAGTGGGGTACACATTCCATGACATAAGTAAGCCGCCAGGCACTGTTGTTTCCTGATGGGGCTGGAGGTTGAGGGAGCCACGTACTTTCGTGCCTGTGAATAATAAATGGCCTGACCTGGGATCCTCCAGGCCTTATTTTCCTTCTTGGTCACACTAATAATACTGACATTTCAATTTCTAATACTGTAAATATTGCTAGATCTCATCCACATTAACAAAAGCTCTTGGTAGGGTAATTATTGTTCAAAAATTTTTCAGCGTGTAAAGGAATCCTGAAGACAGCACATGGGAGAATTGCTCAAGATTCTAAATTGCAAGGAAAGTGCTGACATGCTTTGGTGGAGGAAATTGCCTCATCTGGGAGGACCCAATGTCAACGAAACCACAGGTTCAGTCCCTATCCCTGTATCTGCCCTTTACTGATCTGGGAACTTGTTGGGGGGCCCCAATTTCCACCCCTACCCATTGAAGATAAGCTTCTTGAAGGCAGGGTGGAGTCTGTGGAAGGAGTGTTGACTTTGGAGTCAAGAGGGCCTGGATTCAAATCCTGCCTCTGATACTTATTACCAAGGGCAGGCAAGCCTCTTAGTATCAGGGTTTTTGTTTCTGGTTTTTTTTTTTTTTTTAAGGCAATTGGTGTTAAGTGACTTGCCCAGAGTCACACAGCTAGCGAGTATTAAGTGTCTGAGGCCACATTTGAACTCAGGTCCTCCTGACTCCAGGGCCAGTGCTCTGTCCACTGCTCCACCTAGCTGTCCCCGTCTCAGCTTCTTCTGTAAAATAAGGGGGTTGGAGCAGCTGGCCTCTTCCAGCTCTAATTTGTGATCCTATGCCTGTAGCACAGTGCCTGGCTCATAGTAACCACTTGTTTGATTATTGATTGTTGTTTAGTTGTGTCTGACTCTTTGTCCTGGTGGACTCTTGCATGCCAATGCTATCCATGGGGTTTTCTTGGCAAAGATCCTGGAGAGGTTTGCCCTTTCCTTCTCCAGCTCATTTTACAGATGAGGAAACTGAGGCAAACAGGGTGAAGTGACTTGCCCAGGGTCAAAAAGCTAGTGTCTAAGGCTGGATTTGAATTCAGGTCTTAGTGACTCCAGGCCCAGTGCTCTATCTACTCTAGCACCTACCTGAGAAAATAATAATAATAATAGCTATCATTTATGTAGCACTTTCAAGTTTGCAAAGCTGCCTCTTGATTATTGATTGGCTGGAGTGAAATAGTGTGTACAGGGCAGATGTGAATGTTGACCTAAGCTGTCACAGGGGTGTGTGAGTGGGTGGGCAGGTGGCTGGGGTGGTGGTGTCAGGAGACTTTGAGTACTAAAGATGTAGAGTCAGTTCATCTCAAAGGTAGGGCAGGTTAAGCTCACCTCCCTGCCACAGGCTGTCAGGTCCCTGATCGCTACCAAACTCCCCTGCCCTTTACTCCCCTCCCCTCGCCCTTCCCAGTCCTGTCTCAGCCTCCATCCCTGCAGCAGGTGCTTTCTACCAGGCAATAGCAGAGATTGCCCACATTGATTGACCACAATGGACCAATCTTCAGCCCTCTCACAATGGGAAGAAAGGGAAAGAAAGTGTGTTTCTGTAACAGGATGGCTTATTTGCCCAGAGGATTCATTAATGGTAGGATTTCAGGCAGTGTCATTTGGGGAAGAGAAATCTTAGGGCACTGGGTGATCTCCTGGGCTCCCAAAGCACTCCCTTCCCCAGAGAGACACTCCATGATCCAGCCCCTGCTCTGCCCTCCCCTCAGCCTTGGGGCCTGGGGTATTGGGAAACCAAGGTCCTGGAGCCAAAATTGGAAGCCTCACTTGCCCAAGACGGGAAACCACAATCAGCACTTCTTCTTCTGGGAGATGGAGAAAGGTGGGGAGGGGCTGTGGGTGGGGAAGAGAAGAAGGAGGCTACGTTGGGGACCAAGAGGGGCTGTCATCCCAGAGTCTGGCAGATTCTTACCAGCACCTTCTCAGCTCTGCTCAAAGGTGAGAAATGTCTCCTCCCCTCCCGCTCTTCCCTCCCCACCCCAAAGCTCCAATGGCCCCCATCTTTGGAAACTATTATATTGACTTTCTTAGAAAGAACCCAGATGTTGCAGTCCCTGTCCCACATCCAGTGAGGGCTTTGCTCAGTGGCCAAGTAAGCTTGTTTTCATTGGGATAGCTGATTCTGAATTTCCTTTCTTCCTAGGGGCCAGTGGGATGAAGACTGCTTTCACCTGCCTCTTCCTCATCTTCCTCATCCTTCCTGGGCACCTGGTCCAGCCTCACTGTTCCCTAGATGATCTCTTAAACAAGAAGATCAAGGAGCAGGCTAGCTCCTATGGTAGCCACAGCCCCTGGACATAGATTGACTCCAACCTTGACCCTTGTCCCAAATCTACACCTGACCAGCCTCCTGACCTAACCATGGCCCCTTGCCCCAAATCCAATCCCAAGCTAACCTGAACTAGACCCTAACACTTTGCCTGACCCATCAGGATCCCCCTGCCCAATCTTCCTCTGATTACTGGTCCCAGAGCCCCTTAGAGTAGGTTCCGATGGGAACAGGAGGGGACCCAGCAATAGAGACATGGGATGGTATGGGAGCTCCTTGGCTGGCACCCTGGCAGGAGAAGGCTGGACAGGAATCTTATGGCCTTTCTCTTCTTTGTAATGGTTCAGTTCTGGCTGCCCTTCACAAGCTTCAAATGACCTGCTCCAGTGTTACCTCTCGGGGTGCTCTAGCCACCTGCCCCTCAGGTAAGTCTGGAGCCTAGTGTTCTAGCCCCAGCTTCCCCTCTCCCAGGCCTCTGGTGTCCCCTACCCACAGGGGTAGTATCCAGCCCCCAGCCTCCTACTCCTCCAGGACCCTGGTGTCCAAGCCTCAATTTCCCTCCCCTGAAGGGGATAGAGCCCCAACCAGGGCTCCAGAGTCCAAACCCCAAGCTCTCTTTCCCTTCCTTCTCCACCCAAGACCTCAGTGTCTAAACCTCAGGCTCTCTTCTCCTCAGGGTCCATCGTCACTGGCTGTTCATGTGGTTCAGCCTGTGGCTCCTGGGATGTTCGTGAGCCCACCATTTGTCACTGTCAATGCGCTGGAATGGACTGGACTACTGCCCGCTGCTGCAAGTTGAGGGGCCAATGATGAGCCAGGACAGAGCCTTCCCTTGCCTTCTTCCCACCAAATCCTTCCTGAGTGTGGCCTGCTCCCGGGAGCCAAAGCTAGAGGTTAAATAAATGTGGCATGTGGTCAGAGTGTCCTGAGTGATTGCCGAGGGGCAGGATAGGGCCTGCCCAAATTTTTGCCCAGCCCTTTCCCTCTAAACCAATATGCTTCTCCATTGGCCTCAACCAGGGAGGTCCCAGACTTTCAGGTACTGCTAATGAGGAGCACTTGACACGCTGGGATCTTGAAGGGACTGAGAGGTAGAGTCTGAGCCTGGATACCTGGGTCTTTGGGAAAGGACCTTGGCAGGTAGTTTCTCTGGAAGTACTCCAGGAATCCCAATTTCCTGTCCTCCAATTCCACAGGGAGAAGTCTCTAGTTGGGGTGATGGATCCCAGAAACGGTGGAGTTGGGGAATTGTCTATGAACTCATGAGGAGGAATATATGGAGGCTGAGCCCAGTTTAGGGTCATCTGGGAGACTTCTACTCCCTTTGGCCCCCACCCTCCAGGGAACTTGGCCATCACCAATGTGGCTTTTCTGCTATTCTGTGTTCACTTTACTTACTGTCCAGCTGGGCAGTTCATGTATAAATTGGTCAACTTTAAGATACCAGGCTTAGGGCTGGACTCCTGGGTCCTGTGCACAAGAAAGCTGGGGGCTGGACATCCAGGCCTTGTGGGAGAGCATAGAATGGAGCAGATGATGAAGGAAAGGAAGAATTTCTGATGGGACCAGTTCTAGTCCCAGCTGCTCAGCCCATGTGACAGTTTAATCTTGACTATGATGGTTTCTCTTCTCTCCCTCAGCTCCCTTGCTTCTCCTATACTGCCCTACCCTACCACCCTGGGCTCCTTAGATTGGTCCCTGACTCCTCCCTCCCCTCCTGACACTGAAGCCTCCTAGCCCCTTGAAGTTCCCCAGGGTCCCAGGGAACCTGCCAGATTTGGTGTCCAAAGGTCCCAAGGTTAAGCAGCCCCAGTGTCCAAGTTTTGAATGGTCTCAGCATTATTAGTCTCTCCCTAGTCTTAACAAAAGTTTTCTCCTCTCCTTGGAATGCCCGCACAGCTCAGGCTGACCTCCTCTAGCATCTTCAGTATTTAAGTAGTTAGGGCCCTGCTCACCCCTCCTCTTGGTTAGAATTTCTCTGTCTTTTTCCCTCATTTCCCAAAGGGAAATGGGTTCTTTTAGAACCATTGAAGGATTTTGGGGACTGAAAGATCTGTGCCCTGGGTAAAGGTCTGTGCCCTGAATCAAGGTCTATGCCCTGGTTGGATATTCCATGCCTCTGGATGATAGTCATACTTTTCCTGGTTTGGCCTCTCTGTTGTCACCCATACAGATGACTGAGGGGCAAAGAGATGAGAAAGGGAGAGTACAGTAAGAGGCACACACTATGTTGCCAATAAGATGTACACACATACACACATACACACATTAACACATTATATATTAGCCTCACTCCATATGTGCACATAGGCATATATTCATAGTTAAGTGCACAAAAACTAGAAACCAGCTTCCATATGTTTCAAAGTTCTACATGCAGAACTTACACACTTTCACAGACTTCCCTCCCCATTCTATGCTGTCCCTGGTGCTGAAGTTGAGGGGGAGAGAGGATGGAGAGGGAGGATGGACACCTGGGATTGGGTGCAATCTCCTGATCCTGCAGATTTGGTTTCATCACCTTGCATGACTTCTCCCTTCATGACCAATAAGACCAATAAAGACCCAGGAATCATGAACCCCTAAAATTTCCCCTACCCCATTTCTCTAATCTAAACTGTTGAACACCCCAGTGTAGGAGTATAGATGTTGTACATAAACAGGGTAAGAAAGAGAGAAACCAAGGACAGGGCAGCTGGTAGAGGTAGGGTACATAAGGATAGAGTCCTAGAATACGGACTGAAGGCAGAGGGACCCAGGTCACTGGGACCCTGGGCAGGAGTGAGTCAGTGGGAAACAGAAGTGCAGGGTTCCATAAGATAGAAGGGCTGAGTCTATCAAGACCAGGGACAGAAGGATCCAGGACATATAGATTAAGGACAGAATAGAGAGAGGCAAGCAAAAAGATAAGGTCCTAGAAAAGAGAGAGAATGAAAACAGAAGCAGCATGATACAGCGGGAAGAGCACTGGGTCTGGAGTCTGAGGTTCAAATGTCAACTCTCCCACATTCTACTTGTATGATCTTTGACAAAAATCACTTCACAGCTTTGCCTTAGATTCTTCCTCTAAAATTAAGAGGTTGGACTGGTGGTTGTTGTCCTTCATCTTCGAAGAGGACCAAAGTGACATCACTATGCTAGAGTCAGATTTCAGTGTGTCTGACTGTGGCTGATCAGACCAATACGAACTTGGAATGTTCTACCACAAGTAGGGCACAAATAGTCCATGTGAACATTTGGGATGGATTCTCTAAGTTTGCGCATCTTGTATTTCTCTTGAGCTATTTCAATTCTGCTTTGCTTATGGAGCACAGCACCTTCTCTGATGTGGGCAATGCCATGCTTAGCACTCCTTTGCCAGTGTCTCCCATGTCACAAAATCAATTCCAAAGTTCCTAAGAGAGACCTTGAGAGTGTCCTTGTATCGCTTCTTCTGACCACCATGTGAGTGCTTGCCCTGTGTGAGCTCTCCATAAAACAGTCTTTTTGGCAAGCATATGTTTTGCATTCAAACAATGTGGCCAGCCCTTTGGAGTTGCTCTCTCTGAAGAAGAGTTTGAATGCTTGGCAGTTTAGTTCAAGAAAGGACCTTAGTCTCTAGTATCTTATCCTGCCAGGTGATCTTCAGAATCTTCCTTCAGAATCACTTCCTTCAAGTGGAAGTGATTCAGTTTCCTGGCACGGCACTGGTATACTGACCAGATTTCACAGACATGCAACAATGAGGTCAGCACAATGGCTCTGTAGACCTTCAGTTTGGTAAGTAGTCTAATACTTCTCTCTCATACTTTCCTTGAGAGCCTCCAAAATACTGAGCTAGCTCTGGCAACACATGTGTCTACCTCATTATCAATGTGTACATCCCTGGAAAGTACACTACCAAGGTAAGTGAACTTACCCACAACATTCAAAACTTCTCCATTTGCTGTAACCGATGGTTCCATGTATGGATGGCATGGTGGTGGCTGATGGAGCACCTGTGTTTTCTTGGTGTTAATTGTTAGGCCAAAATTAGCCCAAGCGGCAGAAAATCGATCCATACTTTGCTGCATTTCAGCTTCAGAGGCTGTACTGAGTTGAGTACACAGTCAATTGCAAACATAAAATCATGTACCAACACTCCTTCCACTTTGGTCTTGGCTTTTAATCTTTTCAAGTTGAAGAATTTACCATCAGTGTGGTAGCTGACCTTGATGCCATGTTCATCTTCATTGAAAGCATTTTACAATATGGCTGAAAACATCACACTAAAAAGCATGGGAGCAAGCACACAGCTTTTTTCACTCCATTGGTGACTGGGAAAGCATGAGAGTATTGTCCATTATCCAAAACTCAGGCAAGCATGCTGTCATGAAATTGACATACAATGCTGATGAACGTCTCCAGACAACCACATTTTGACATAATTTTCCATAAACCCTCATGACTGACAGTATCAAAGGCCTTGGTCAGATCTACAAGCATTGTGTACAGACCTCTGTTCTGTTCCTGGCATTTCTCCTGGAGTTATCAGGCAGCAAACACCATATAGACCATTCCTTGGCCCTTTCTGAAGCCACTCTGGTTCTCATGTAGATGACCATCTTACAGGTGAAGGATCAGCCTATTAAAGAGGACTCTGGCAAGAACCTTGCCAGCAATGACTAAGATAGAGACCCCCCCCCCCATGATTGTCACAGGACAATCTATTTCCTTTACCCTTATAGAGATGGACAACGGAGGCATCCTTGAATTCCTGGGAGATAACCTCCTCTTGCCACATAACCTGGAAAATTTCAGTCAGCTTTTGTATGAGCAATGGACCCCTACCTTGTAAATCTCAGCTGGAATAGAATCAGCACCAGGTGCTTTGCCACTTGAAAGGAGCTGAATGGCATTCAAGACCTCTTCTTCAGTTGGAACTTTAGCTAAGGAGGGATTGACTTCAACCTGAGGTAGATGGTCAGCGGCTTCAGCATTGATTGATGATGGTCTGTTGAGAACACTATGGAAGTGCTCAGCCCATCTGTCTAGGATCACGTCCTTATCACTAATCAATGTGGCTCCATCAGCACTGAGTAGTTGAGATGCACCATAGGTCTTTGGCTCATAAATAGCGAGAGGTTAGACTAGGGGACCTCTGAAGTCCTTTCCAGATCTATGATCTTATGACATTGGGGTATGATGGAAAGATAGGGACAAACATGTATTTTGGGGGGAGGCATAGGACCAAGGAACTTTTCCCCTATCACTTTTAATCCTGCCATTCTTGAGGAAAGACTTTCATGTGGTGGAGTGGACTTTGCTCATAGGCTACGTATGACTCTACCATGGGACTGGAGAATACCACCGGTGCTACTCAGAGTTTATTGACTCATCCCCCTTGTCTCCATTACAATGTTTGGGGGGGGGATAGGGGTATACTTGGTGGTACTGCCTTAGTTCACATGTGTATTTGGGAGTATATATTTTGATCTGGGGGGTGGTGGTAGTGATGGTGACCCAGGTGTCAGAGACCAGGCTGAGGCAGAAAATCTCATGTACTTACATGATATCTCTTACTCAAGCATCAAATCTGTTGGAGGAATGAATGCTGAGTCTCTGAGGAGGCTGGACATCTGAGTTGTCAGGAGATCCGGACTAGAGGTTGAATCCTGAGTCTTTTAAAGGTGGTAGGACTCGGGGGTTAGATGCCTAGGTTTCTTCTCAGCTGCAAAGCTCTTTCTAATGATCTTGATATCCTCCCCACCCTCACCTTGGTTGTCACTGAAACTATTCTGCTCTTCTGGCTTCTCTGGCTTCCCTGGCTTCCTTCAAATCTTGGCTAAAGTCCTACCTTCTGTAAGAAGTTTTTGCCAGTTCTCCTTAATTTCATTACCTCCTCCCTGAAATTATCCCCAATTTATTCTGTCTATATCTTGTTTGTACATTAGATTTCCTGA